AGGTTCCCCGTCGTCATTCATTGTAGAAATTGACTCAAAGTAATGCATATAATTTACTTACAATACTTGATATTTCATATTTGAAAGCTTGTAAATCATAAAGTCACTAATAAAATCATCTGAAAAAAGCAGCATCTGATATAAAAAGTATTTTAGACTAAAACAGTGGACCTAAACTTAACAGTATAAATCGACATTACATACTGTCATATACACAGAAATACATATAATCATAATTTCATTGCTAAAATTGGAGTGAAAGTCATTTAGCTATGGAATTCTTATATATGCAAAAATTAGATCTTATAAATTCTTAAAAAATCGTATGGAACAATAACCATGCCAGAATTCAAGATTCAGTAAGGAAGGAACTCTGAACCGGGTTGTAGTGTAGAATATATATGTATATGTACTATACATATCTATACGTATATATCATATGCATATATATATATATATATATATATATATATATATATATATATATATATATATATGTATATATGTGTGTGTGTGTGTGTGTGTGTGTGTGTGTGTGTGTGTGTGTGTGTGTGTGTGTGTGTGTGTGTGTGTGTGTGTGTGTGTGTGTGTGTGTGTGTGTGTGTGTGTGTGTGTGTGTGTGTGTGTGAATATATATAATATATATAATATATATATATATATATATATATATATATATAATATATATATATATATATATATAATATATATATATAAATATATATATAATATATATATATATATATATAATATAATATATATAAATATATATAATATAATATATATATAAATATATATAATATAATATATATATATAATATATATATATATATAATATATATATATATATATATATATATATATATATATATATATATATATATATATATATATATATATATATATATACACACTAGTACACAAAATCTTCATATACTATTTCCCATGTGGTATACTGTGCATGTACAGCAAAAGAGAAACCGTGAGGTGGAACACAACCCATACTATTCTCCTAAAGCATTTACTACTTTGCCCTTAACATCACAGTACAAATGGCCGACACTGTTCCATGATTTATTAACAATCACAAAATTCTGTTTGCAAAAAAATACCATTTCATCAGAGGCAAAATGAGTTTGACAAATTGAACTGATTCTTTCATTACAAGAAAAAGGGAAATCATTGTTACAGAATTCCATACAAAAAAACTAATTGAAGAAAATAAAACAAAATCATATTCTAGATGAAAACCTTTTTCTTCTATCTGGGCCGCTGCTTTGCATCAAAGCAATACTAACACCTCGCAAGAAAAAGGGGAACATGCACGCACTAGGAATTGTATGCAAGTTCTCCTTCATTTTTCTTTCAGGAACAACAGGAGCATTTCATCTTTTACTAAACTCATGTTCCTGTCACTCTTCACAATACTAAAACGTGATTTATGGCTAAAGTTAAGAATACTGAGTGGGTTTAACAGTGTACTTCACACCTGAAAAAAGTCTTACTTTAAACACTGTTAATTCTTTCAACAATCCCACATTTCAAGACAAAGGGCCGTTTTTCCTCCAAAAAATTATATTTCCAAGAGCCATTATCTCTGGATGGTACAAAAATCAATAGACCAGCCAGCTTAATCTCCATCATTATCCTTACTAATATGCCGCCCTTACCATTTTTTCTTAGACAAATTCTTTTCTAATCTAACCACATTCCTGAAAAAGGAGAAAAAGTCAAGAAGAAACCAAAAACAGAGAAAAAAATGTAAGCTTCCAAATCACAGATGCAAGTTAAAAAAAAAATTATTACCTGATTCACCTTGAAGTGTTAAATCCATCTAGTATTAGTGTGAGTGGAAACCTATTAATTGTTAGGTAGCTCTGAGTTGGAAGCATTTGATGTTATTTCCACATTGTCAATCCTTTTCACATCTATACAATTTATGTTATACAAGTAGGCATGGCATGAAAAAAGAAGACTGCAGAATCTGAATTATAAGTAATTTAAGTACAATCATTTGTTAAAAAACAAAAAATATTCCATAAGTTACATTCTCTCTGGCTAAGAACAGCAATAATCAGAAAAAAAAGTTATGGAATATTTCTTTCAATGCATAAATATTCTAGTTAAATGCATTTAAAAACCTATCATGGAAAAATACCATTTGAGATACAACAGTATACAAGCTTCAACAAAATACAAATAATACTTTCCTAAATGACTTTCCTTGAGTATTGCAAAATTTAAGGAGAAAAAAAGTATCTTTAGACATAATGGAAACAGTGAAAAGAAATTTCTTATTTCTCCTATGAATATCGGAACAGAGTAAACAAAAGGAACAAATTACAGATCTCTTTCATAATTACATAGATGTACTTATAAACTATTCTTTCACACTAAGTGCAAACAGTTTACCCTCAAAAGGTATTTCATTTTGAAGCTGAGATCTTCATATTTCAAATAAAATATAGACACTCTGGTTCATTATTTGATTTTACAAACAATTTCTACGAAGCAAAATCAAAGAACTCAAAGTAGAGAGCTACTAAAACACCCACATGTGTGTGTTAGTGTTAGTGTTAGTGTTAGTGTGTTAGTGTGTTAGTGTGTGTGTGTGTGTGTGTGTGTGTGTGTGTGTGTGTGTGTGTGTGTGTGTGTGTGTGTGTGTGTGTGTGTGTGTGTGTGTGTGCACGTGTGTGTGTGTGCACGCATGTGTGTATGTGTGTGTGTGTGCGGGTGTGTGAGTGTGTGTGTGCGCGTATGCATGAGCGTATCCATGTGCGTGTGTGTGAGCGCACACGTCTTCACGAGTCTAATAAAGAAATAAGATAACTAACAAGCAAACAGTGGGCTTCTTTGTTCATGTAACCGCTTTGGAATAAGCTACAAGTAGTTTAATGAAGTGGTCCTCTGTTTGATACATCTAACCTAAGTCTAATACAAACCCTTCCTACAAAAAGGGAAGCTTGAACTCTTTAACAATCAGAATAAAGTCAGAATTTGTTCATAAAGTAATAATTCACTGAATCAGTCATGTTTCATTCTTTTTCACATTTTACTAAACCTTTTCCATCCATCTTTTATGCATAAGACAACCTTTTTAATCACTCATGAACAAATAAAGAAAAAAAAAGTTTAAAAATATTTACTAAATACTAGTACTCTGTCACTTTACCATACTTCTGGCAATTAAACAGAAAAAAAGGCAAAACATTACCCCACAGACAAGTGAAAGTCCCTTAAACTAAAAATTAATTTCTAGACAACCTATACAATCGTAGGAGACAAATAATGTCAACTGACAAGCACAAAATGCCGAAGTAAGAAGAAAAAAAGAAGACTAAAATGCCATAGTTCACCAGACCAAAAGCTGGTACTCCCTTGTGCCCGTATGAAAAGCTCCCTTATAGTATAACAATTATGATAAAAAATAAATAATGAATAAATATAAGCCTCATTTATATTTCAGTGCACAGAAATATATAACCTCTAAAAATATGGCTTCTAAATACACTACATAAATACGTAATGCAAGTGCGCAGTCATGTGAAATAAAGCACTCATCTCGTCCATGCAAAGATAAGTTAAACATAGTAAATGCACAAACAAGATAGAGAAAAACACACATGCATCTGCATACATACGCAAACATACAAAAAAACACATGCACACACACACAAAACTAATCTAAATGAACTGTACTGTTTTCCAATGTACGCATACACAATATGTTGACGTGCAAATCAACATGCAAATTAAAATTCTTGTTTGTTTTTTCCTCTTCATATCAAACATATTTCCTTCTGATAATGTAATGAAACATACTCATTATGGACAGACAAATAGATATAAATCTATAATATGTATATATTCAATATACACTATGCACTCATACATATCTACATATATAAACCTATCACGTGTATATGACTTGTTTGTATTAAATATGAATGTCCACATGCAATGAGAATGATGCCATAGAATGTATATGTGTGTAAGCACATGTGCATGAATGCTACATTGATCAATCAATGCCTTTAATTCAATTAATATCCCCAGCAATGTGCCTCATTTTCAATATACATTTTACCCTTCTTTGACAAGTGACTTATAAAGACTTATAAATATCAATAGCAAAATTGACTCATAATCCGGAAAAAGGAAAATGAGAATGAGTGTAAATGATGTCTGAAAGCAGAAGAAACAAGGTGGAAGGAGGGAAGAGGAAGGAGGAAGAAGAAGAAGAGGGGAAGGAGGAGGAGGACAGGGTGGAGGAGAAAAATGTAGAGGAGGAGGAGGAAAATGAGGAGGATGAGAAAAAATAAGGAGGAGGAGAGGAGGGGGAGAAGAAAAAGAAAAAAGAAGAAAACTGAAAAAAGAAGCGAAGAGGAAACAAGAGAAGAGACAGATGAAGAAAAAGACAAAGAAAAAGTACTAAAAGAAGAAAAACAAAAAAGAACAGAGTATAAGAAGGAAAAGAAGAAACGGACGCAGAAGGACAAAGAATTGTGCTCGTTAATACTTTTGGGGTAGTTTGGCCGCAGATATTTACTATATCCTAATGAAAACGCAAACTTAACAAATCCATTTACACTATGAACTACAGCTTCATAAACTCGCACAGAAATGATAACCACGGTAAATCAATTACTGGTGTGTATGTATCTATGCAGTGCTCTGCCTTGCTGTACAATATGCATGATGCCTTGCTGCTATTCATGAGTGTGTGCATGAGTGTATCTATATATACATACGTATTCACTATAACAACTGGGTAAACCTGCCTGGTATGGTGCCCCCAGTAGCATCAATTGTAATAATAATGGAAATAATAATAATTATTATTATCATAATGATAATAATAATAAATAATTATAATAATTAATAATAATTATTATTGTAATGATAATAATAATAAATAACTATAAGAATTCATAATAATTATCATCATAATGATAACAATAATGAAAAAATTGTAAAAAGTTACATTATTCATCCTGTTATATTCATTACCTATAACACTATCATTAATTTTGTAGTTAAAATTTCTTGTTAATTTCTAATAAAAGAGCGAAATAAATAGAACATGCTATTAATATTGCACAAAAGTTAGAATAAAATTTACAGCCTGATAAAACGTAATATAGAGAGATGTAATTACAATGTATCGCTCTATAATCCTTTAGAGGAAACCATGTGAACGTCATGTAACAGTTCATCTTCTGTTTATGACACTCTGTATCTATAATTTTTGTTTTTATCAACCTTAACCCAATAACTGCTATGCATATCACATGATGGAGAGCATGTTGGTAACATGCAATGCACATGCTATGAGGCATTTTTTTTTTTCTTTTTAATCAGTTGCACTACCCGATGCACCAATATGAAACAGAAACAAATAGCAGATGATCCAAATGGCAACAGCAAAAGAGAGAGTGCAAAAAAGTCGAAGAGAAGTGGCTACGTGAAGAAGGCTACGGCCCCACATGATAGCGTCAGAGGCCTTCTACCACTTCTTCCATTTGCATGAAATTATACGCGGGAGAATAAGCCAAAATACCTAATTAAACAGTTATTGGGTTCAAAACTAAGAGGTAAAAACGTAAGAAGTACTTATGAGTAAGAGTCAAGTTATGCAATTTTTGGCATGATCTTGCAACAGTTCTATCTACAAAAAGCCACCATTCGTTGCAAGCCATCCTCAATGCACTGTCAATCTTGTGGTTTGCGTCAAGTGGGGGCAAATGCATGCAGGCTCCTCCCACCTCATAAAAGCGTATGGTGAAGTTATCACAAGGCCAACATCACTAGAATTTTTTTTTAAATAAGTAATAACACTGATAAAACACAGAAATACATAATCAAAAACTAATATCAATTATATCAATAATAATAATAATAAAAAGTCTTCAACAAATAGAAGCATTTTCTTCTTTTCCCTCTTTTTTTCATTATTTTTGTTTACTTTTCTTCATCAGTCTAATAAGGAAAAGAACTCTTAAACAATCTTTTGCACCTTGGTTACCTTCTCGGTGGAAGCTAGTTTGAGCAGCTGCTTCAGGAGTACGGGTCCTGATTGTGAATTTCTTCTCTTCTTGTTCTTGCTCTCAAAAGATGCTGAAGCTGTTATGCAACATTACCAGCATCATTAGTTAATAACCGTAGAACTCTTGGGACTACCTGTTGATCTTGTACATGATATATTGGGTCTACATTGGCAAATATATATAAAAATATATAAAAATAAATAAAAGGTCAAGTAGAATTATACCATAGTCATTGTAGGTATGATTTGCTTTCAGATCTTCTGTAATATCTGGCCTTGCAAATTACTATTTCCCACTTTAAGTTACCTAAAGTGTATGATTATGAAGCACAAATGCAGCAGACAAAGTAGTTTACAGAGAGAACTCAGAAGAAATTGCACAGCGTGTAAATGCACGAGAAACTAAAGCCTTCCTGAGACTGTGGGCAAAAAAAAAGAAAGAAAGAAAACAAAAGCAAAAGACCTCCATAGTCAAAGTAACAATTTAAGTAAAGAGAGAACAACCATTTCTCAAATCTCCTTAATAGCAACCTTATAATTTCAACCTCCATCTCTCGATCCAATTGTGACAAGTGAAAGTTTCATGTCTTATTTACATTACTGGGGTTGGGATGGGCGAGTAATTGTCTTATACATTCTTCACGTAATGTTTATGTGCACATTTTCTTACCCTGAATGGTTTCACTGCGACTATCTTTTTTTCCTTTTTTTCAAACAGACACTTGTTATACTGCACAAAGGGGGTCGGGAGAGCTTGCCACAAGGACACCGCACATCAACCCCTTCCTCCCCTGTTGATAATAATGGTCGGCTTGTGTGAACCTCTGTCCTCCTCTTTCTCCTCCCCTTCAGACGGATGAACTTAACTGAGTTTGTGATCTTGCGTGTACTGTGGGTTTGAGTCGAGGAAGGCTCTCAGCTTGGTTGGGTAGTCGGTCATGACGCCAGTCGCTCCCGCTTCGAAGGCACTGCGGAAATCTTCTTCTGAGTTCATGACCCAGAGGTAGGTCTGGAAGGGAAAACAAGGGGAAGGGATTAAGGGTAAGACATTTTGACAATTGGTCATCAATTAAATCTATTGTTGCATAACTAAGAGAAGAGAGAGAGAGAGAGAGAGAGAGAGAGAGAGGAGAGAGAGAGAGAGAGAGAGAGAGAGAGAGAGAGAGAGAGAGAGAGAGAGAGAGAGAGAGAGAGAGAGAGAAAAGATGAAGCATAATGTGTGTGGAAGTAAGGTCTCGACTTGGATCACCGTCTGCTGACTGGATGATGTGACCAACCAGGAGCATGCACATTTCAAGTCAACCAGCCTTCTTTTATCCTTTTATTTGTGTCAGATTGTAGTATCATGCCTTTTTGATCCAAAAGTGAAAGATATGAAGATGTAAATAATGGTACAGATTCCATTCCCATGAATTTCTCTGCGGTCAAGATGTCCGTCAGAAACCTAACCATCAAGATCTCAGAAAGTGTTATGGATGAAATAGTCTCATAATTTGACTTTTGGATAATATGAGGTAGCTGTAATGGTGAGAAGTTGGTAGGGAAAAGGAGACCAACATAATTACAGAAGACAGAAAGAAAGAAAGAGATACTGAGGGACAGAGTGAAAACAATGTACACACTTTACATACCCACAAAAGAGTAATCTCTATTACCACTGACAATGGAACTTAAACTGCAGTGCAACACCTATAACAAGACCCTTGTACCTACTAGAAACGACATGACTGTATCATTGAGAATGATATTCACCTGAATGCCTCGCTTCGATAGGTGCTCAAACAAAGATCGCCTGATAAGAAGAGTGTTGGCAATCTTAGCGATAACCGAATACCACCACTTCTCGCCAAAGTTCTTGCTATATATCCTGTTTGGAAGAAGTCGGATTTATCATTCCATGAAGATTAAAAACTTAAGGAGGAATAAAGAAGTGAATCAGATAATCTGAACATGCATCATTAAATATAAATTTATATACATACATATGTATGTATGTATAATACAATATAGATAATATATACGCATATATACATGAAAACAATATATACATGATCTTTCTTGTAATGTGTCATCAAAAATTAACATTTGTCTATAATATTTCAGGGTTGTCAAGCATTTATGATATGATAATTATTGATTATCAGATTTTTAACCTTAGGCAGCATTATGAGCCATAAAAGGGTGCATCGAAGTCAAGTGTTTAAAGTTGAGTTACTTGAACAGTTCACTAATAACACAAATCAACCCATTGAGATTAGGTAATCAGAAGTGACCTTTGTAATAAAGTTAAAACACCCAAAGGCTCACTACCCCTACCGAAAAAATCTACAGTGGGACCTCTTCGACAAGGTTCACCCCCAACCCGAGACATTGGAAGACGACACTCTCCCTGAACCTATGATGTTTTCACACACAAACTATACATTATCATAAATCATTATCACTCGTATGTCTCCTCCAATACTCACCTCATCATTTGTACTGGCATGAAAACCTCGAGGTGTGTCTCCTTGAGGGGCATGAATGGCAGGAGCCCTGTGTACAACTGGAGCAGCATCAGGCACACCCGCTGGGCACTAAACAGCAGGCACATGTTGGGGTTCTGGGAGGAGGAAGACAGGTGGATTTAAACGTGGAACGATGCAAAGTGCGGAGGCGTTGGAAGATGAAGGGAACGGGTCTAAAGGCAGAAGAAGGGATAGGCGTGGATGGGTAGGGAGGGGATGGCAGAAGAGGGAAAGAAGGCGCTGGAAGGGAATTTGAAGGATGGGGAAGAGAAATGAAGAGAATGGGATAGAACAGAAAGGAGATGAGAGGGAAGTGGAATGAAGGGGATAGGGGGAAGAGAAGGATCGGGAAGGAGAAAATAGATGAGAGGGAAGGAAAAGGAAGGGGAGGGGTGGAAAGGGTAAGGGAAGGAATAAGAGGGGAGGAAAGGGAAGGGAGGTAAGAAATGGGATGGGAGAAATGGGGAGAGCAAGGGAGATGGGGCGGAAGGGGAAGAAAGGGAATGGAAAGCGGGGGAAGAGGAAGGGGAAGAAAGGGAATGGAAAGCGGGGGAAGAGGAAGGTGAAGGAAAGGGATGGGGTAGGAAGTGGATGGGAGATAAAGGAAAGGAAAGGGAAGGATAAGGAAGGGAATGGGAAGGAAAGGGAAGAAAGGCATTGAAAGTGAAATGAAGGAGATAGGATGGGAAAGAAGGGGATCAAAAGGAAGTGAAGGAAACGGGATGGGAAGGAAGAGGGTGGAAGGGAAGAGGAAGAAAGGAAGGGTTTAGGAAAGGAAGAGAAAAGAAGAGGAAGGAAAGGTAGGAAAGGAAAAAGAAAAGAAAAACAAAGGAAAGAAATGCGAGGAAAAGGAAAGGAAGAGGGATAGAGCAAAGCAAGTGATGGAAGTGAAAAGAAAGGGAATGGGAGAGAAAGAGCTATAAGGAAGTCATAGAGAAAGGGAAAAAAGAGGAGGGGCAGAGGGGGGAAGAAGAGAGTGAAGGGAAAGGTAAAGATGGAAGTGAAAGAAAAGAAGACAGAGGAGGAAGGGAATGGGGGAGGGGGGGAAGGAAGAGGGTTGGTAGAAAGGGGCAGAAAGGGGATGGAAGTGAAGACAAAATAAAGAATAGGAGAGAAGGGAATGGACAGAGAACAAAAAAGATAAAAAATCAAACAAAGGTAGGAGAGAGAAAAGATGAGAAAGAGGTAGGTAGAAGATGAAAAGAAACAAAAACACAAAAACAAAACTCCAGACAGCATTCCTATTCTTAAAAACTTACCCACAAGAAAAAAATATCTGAAAAGCCACACACCACATATTTGAATATCTATACATAATACATATACCTAAATATATGCATATGATATACCGAAATATATATATATATATATATATATATATATATATATATATATATATATATATATATATATATATATTTATATACACATATGCATGTATCAATTGATTTCCAATGGAGAGTAATTATCTTATGAAAAAAAAAAAATAATAATAAATAATGCCAAGTAAAATTCATTACATAATTCTGGTAAAAAGCACTGGATTTTTCTATTAAGATTAAAAAGAAAAAGATTTTATCTTTTTTACCTTTGCTTTCTTTTGTGTGCATGTGTGTGTCCATGTGTGTGCATGTGCAGGTGTGAGCGCATGTGCAGGTGCGTGTGCTGTGGGCATGTGTGTGTGCACAATTACAGCTTTGAAAAGATATGTTTCCTTTACATCTAAGAGTAAGTAATAAGTAATAATAATAATCATAAATAGGAAATATCTATCTTCCTCAGAGGTGTGCATGTTACATGTATATGGAAAAGTATACATATTTATTTAGTTCAGGGCCTAACAGTAGGGGGAACCAAGGGGCTGTCCCCAACCATCTTTTCAAATTACCTCTTATTTTTGCCACTTGTCAGGGGCTTACTTCTTTTTTAATAATTTATAAGTTGCGGAACTGCCCACACTAAATCAATATAGTTGATGTGCCTGGTAAATGGGTGGTGAGCAAAGGACTTATTTTTAAAATTATTTCAGTTTCTTACTTAGTAAAAATTCCTTTCAAATGCGTCACTCCTAACCACCTCAAGAAATCATAAATGCTGTAAACTCAGTTCTAAGTCTAGCGGATGATCAAACCTGTGCCATTATCACTATTTTCTAACATTTCATTTCCATGGATGAATGGATGGAATAGATTCTCATTTGCAAACACCTATTTTTTTTCTACAGCATAAGGGAATTTTACAAATAAAAATCAAAGCACAAATCTTTGGTCAATTTTTGTTTGTACATATAACATCCCTCAGGGTTAAGAGTGCATTGAACTGAACAACTGACATAAAAATACACCTTTACTTTTGACGTGCTATAGCAAAGAGCAAATAAAGAAAATATGTAATATGATAAATAACCATCAAATAAATGTCATGTTACATTTCCTCCTGCCAACTCAAATGTCTGAAACGTCTTGCTCGAGCTGTGTGCCAAAGTGATGTAATGCCAAATAATGTCTTGAAGAATTATTTAGCCTTGTAAACTTCACTGGCAAATGACTTCCAAAAATGGAACACAACCAAGCTTTATCTTCCTGGAATATACGTATGAAAAATATCTTAGTTTAGTTTAGCAATTCCATGTTCTTTTGTCTTTTTCTTGTCTCATGCACTAACAAAACTGACCAAATTCCCTTGCTGATCATAATCATATCCAGTTTATCTATTGCAATCATAGGACACCTTAGCAGGTCAGTTCTTTAGAATCTAATTTTGCTTACCTTAAAGTCCTTTCTCACATAAATGTACAAACTCCTTTTTAAGGTGTCCAATCACTACTCAAAGGTGACCACAGGTAAGTAATATTTCATTCTTCATCTTCACATCTTTGCAAATTATTGTACCTCTAGCAACTTAGTGGATTATTTAATAATTGAAAAACACACCTTAGCAAATTACTGTATTCCACACGAGACCTTTACGTGACACACCACCAGACACGGAAAACATTATGCTGCAAAGCCACGAAAATGTGAGGAATAAAAATACCCAAAGAAACGTTACAAAGAAAATAACTAAGAAGAAGAAGAAATTTCAAATCAATGAAAAATGGAGGAAAAAGGCAGGAAACAAAACCAATTAATAATAATACAAAGTAAATAATCAATAGAAAATCAATCAAAACAAAACATCAAAATCTAAAATCCAAGAAATCGGACAATGACACTTGGCAAGCATCAAACCATCACGCACATGTGAGTAAATCAGAGAACCTACTGTGCTTTAATAGTTTCTGCCTGACTGCAAGGCTGTGACTGATGGGTTGTGAGTCTCGCTGCCTAAGGGAGACATAAAGGTGAGCTTCCAGCGGAATAATTATTACCAAAACTAAAAAAGCATATCTTACAAAAAAATAAAAAAGAGGGAGAGATGCAGTAAAGAAAAGAAAAGAAAAAATAAGATGAATATAAAATAAATAGCTTAGCCCAAAGTATGGACTTTAAAAAATAACAGTAATACAAAAAAAGAAGAAAAAAATTAAAACATAACTGTTTAAATTGAAAAAGAAAGGAAAAAAGGGAAAAAAGGGATAAAAAAGGATCTTGAACCATTTAAAATGAACAGAATGAAAACCACTTACATAACCATATTATCAGAACAAGGAAAGACTCCAATAGAAAATCTAAAGCAGTTTGTACCTGATCTAAAGTGCTGTGTTTACACCTGGGATTTTTAACTATCCCATATAAACAACTCTAAGAAAGATGCTTGGAATATGAGTTCGACTAAGAAGCACATTCATTAGTGATGGTCAAAAATTTAAAACTTTACTTGAAATTCACCTTAGCTCACTGTCCACATGGTCAAAAAAATATATTAACATAAATTAAAACCTCTACAGGCATAGGAGCATCAGCTGTGCCTGTGATGGGGTTGTGGAGTAATACTAATAGTAATTGTTCACAGCATTTGTTTTTTCACGCCTAGTGCTTAGAATTGGGCATGTGTGTGGTAATTTTACAAGACTAATATTGTAGTACAGTGTGACAGCATAATCAAGGCTTATTTGGATTAAGTGGAGGGGTGAATAAGGAGAGAGAGAGAAGAGCTCCATATTAACAATGCTCTCATTTTTGAAACTCCCTATATTTGTCAATTTTTCTCCTTTTTTCCTTTTATTTTATAACTAAGCATCGTTCTGTGATACGAATCTGGAATATACTGCGAAAAGCTGAAGGCTAGACACTGGAAGAAGAAACGGAAAAGGCGACTGGTGGCTTGCAGGAGAGCCTACCATTTCCAGCGGCCATTTCCCAATCATCACCTGAGTCTCTCCTCTCCCTAGGCCTACAGCCGCTCCTCTTCTCGCAGCTAATCATCACTTTTGATTATGACTTGATGGTGATAAGTAAGATCAGATAGAAAAATATTTCCTTGTGTGTGTGTTCTTATGCGTATGTGAGATTAAGAGTGAGAGTGAGAGTGTGAGATAATAAGCTAATATAGTACTGGGATTTCATGAGCTCAGTCAAAAAATTTAAACAAACTGTAGCATGTAATGAATAAATTACTCACAGGGAGGTTTAACTTCATATTTTTTTTAACCGTGTTATTCTCATAACTCCATACTCACTCTACCATATATAACTCTCAACATTACTTTTCAACTATAAGGATGCACAAACAAAAAAATTTAGCTAACTCACTAGCTATCAAAAGTTCTAAAAATCTAACAAAAAAAAAAAAAACAAAACTGGTATAAACTGAGGAAAGAAGGAAAAAGAAAAAGAGAGAGAGAGAAAAAATCCAAATAAGAAAAAAGAACAACAATATCCAATGCACTAACAAACTTAAAAATATATCCCACTATTGCAAACTTACCTCCTTATAGCACTTTTGTGTTACTTCATCCTTCATGTTCCCCCAGACTGTGATGTGTTCTCGGTTGTATTTCTTCACTAGGTTGCTTACCTGCGGACATGGATTTGGCGGTGAATAGATGGTAATTATTTTCATTTCCATAAGAGAAAACGTCATTACATTGATGTTAGGGTTAAGTTTCAATCTTTATAGATGACATTTCACAGATAATAATAATAGTCAGCTATAGAAATGGTAGTGAATATTCTCTTCCTATCTCTTTATCTATCTATCTGTCTGTCTCTCTCTTTATCTATCTATCCATCTAGCTGTTTATCTCTTCTTTCTTTCCCCCTCACTCCCTGTCTCTCCCCTCCTTCCTCCCTTTCTTAAGTACCTCATTCCTCTCACTCTTTCTATCTCTCCCATTCACTCCCTCCTTCCCATCCTCATTCTCCCCCTCCTTTCCTCCTTCTCTCAAATATTCCCTCTCTCTTATTCACACATCCTCACTCTACACAGGCCCTCTCCCTTCCTCTTCTCACTCCCTCCCTCATTACTCTCACTCATTCCATCCCAAACATTCCATTTCTCTCATTCCCAGGAGGAGTGGGAAGGAGGCGGCCCTCTCCCCTCCACCCACTCACTTTAGAGATGAGTTCATTGTTGTTGGTCTTGATGTCGATATTGATGGGCAGGTTGGGGAAAAGCTGGAACGTCTCCTCAAGCAAGGGGAACCTCCGGTCATCGCTCTTGCCACTGAAGGTTGTTCCGGGCATGAAATCGATGGGCACCTGCTCGCGGATGAGGGGGAGCTCCTCGTATTTGTACTCTGAAATGGCCCCTTTTGATTCTGTGCGGACGTCGAGGATGGAGTCGTGTGACACCACTACCTGGCCATCTAGGGTTAGCTGGCAGTCCAATTCCAGCATGTCTGTGCCGACCTCCACCGCACTGAAAGGGAGGAAGAAGAGTAAGAAATTTTTTTTTTTTAATAGGAGAAGAAAAAAAAAAAAAAAAAAAAGTTAATATGAGTGAATAGTGATAATAAAGACAAAAGAGAAAATAGATAAGAAAAAAGGGGGAGGGGGAAATAACGGATGAAAAATAAAATACAGAAAGAAAAAGAAGATTAGAAAGTAAAAGAGCAAAGTATGTCAATAAGTATTGAACCTCAATACCGTACTTGCATATATACAGGTGATGTCAGGTAAGCCTAATAATAAAATCATTGGTGACTAAATCTATACAGACATGCAGACACAGATACACACACACACACACACACACACACACACACACACACACACACACACATACACACACAAAAAAAAAAAAAAAAAAAAAAAAAAAAAAAAAAAAAAAAACATGCACACATACACACACTAATAGACTAACAAGCAAATAAAAACACACACACTATTAAACAAACAAACAAACACACACACACACAGAATGGATAGTACACGTTCCTGGCTTCAAATACCGGACTGTACTTACTGTCTAAAGGCTGATATGGTGTTCTCATAGTTTTCCCCAGCACCTGTTATGGGCGAGAGAAAAAATGCATTTGAGGAATATTAATCTTATATAAATGTA